AACCTTGCTTTGAATGATAGGCTACGTTCACATTCTCACAATCAGCAGGAATAGCGGGAGGAAGACCATCACAATCGTGATATTTATAAGGATTTCAATCTGGTCCACCATCTTATATAGATCCACATCATCAAAGACAAGCAATCCCATTGGAAGTTCCACCAGGTGAAGTGTCAAAAGCAGCAAAATCAAATCATTAAGTGATTCAAATGGTCATACTTGATTGATTAGAATGATTAGAAATTATGAGGATAGGGAACAAGCTTTGATCCTGTTTCTAGATGAATTCACTGATGTGATTACAACTACAGATTACAAGATGTCGATTGGATTGGATCAATGTGATGGATTTGAGTAAGCAATACCTCCAAAATCTGAAAACAAAAAACAAAACAACCCAGGAAAGTCATCTTAAATCAAAAGATGATCTTATAGACTAACTTGGAAACCCTACTTAAAAGACATTGGCCAACACATCAACCACCCAAATTGAATTCTTAAACCGTCTCCCACACTCAAAATATGGTATGATTCATTATTAGATAATCAGACCCGAGCAGAAAAAAATAAATACAAACATAGAAGATCATCATGACAAAGCAATTGAACATGTTGTAAATGATTGGATTGAGCTTATCAAATGATATAGAGTTAGTACGTTTATTTAAATTGATTAGTAATTGAGCTTGAATTTTAAAAATATGTTAGAATTGCTGATATATTTGAATTTAGTCAAAATATCATAGTTCCTTGAATCAAAATCTTGATTGAGATCGTTTCAAGGAGTTAAACTGATTTTATCACTCACAATCTATAAATCTATTGAATTTGATAGATTCATTAAAGAAAAATGGGTTCAACCTATTTTTCAATTTTCATCTGATCCTTTTCAAAATGAAAATTGGCTTGATACCTTTGAATTAATTTCACAAAATGTACAGCCTGATGCATAGTTGATGACTTTGGAGAAAAAAAAACGTTGAGTTTTCAAAAAAGACCCTTGAGTTTTTTTGAAAAGCTGTCGATTTTTTCAAAAAGTCACTGAGTTTCTTTTTCGAAAACTGGCTGAGTATTTTCAAAATTCAATGAGTTTTTGAACAGACAATCATATGAAATTGATGGATAGCTTCACCAGATCGATCGATCGATTGATATTGATCAAAACTTCCCGTTGTCTACTATATATCATCTCAGCACCTCATTTTTGATGTTTTATCATACTATCTGTACCTTGTAGATGACTCTCTTGATCTATATACTTAAATCAATGTCCCTCTCAACCGTTGCTATCCTATCCGTTATCCTGACCCGGTTATCCCTACTACCCTATACTCTTTGCCCGGTCCACAAGTGCGCTCCCTCCCATCCACAATGCAACGACTTCTCTCCACATTACTCTGTCCCCAATACATACCGTGTTCCTAATCCAATCCCCGCTACACCTTTCCTCAAGCCAGGACGCCGGTCAAGACCACCCATGTTACCCCTTTACTGTCACTCATCCATTTTTACTGCTATCGCTGATCGTGCCCAACCTGCCATCTTTGCCGGACCAGATTGCTTCCTCTGCTCTATTACCAACCTCCACTCGTCTTCTCTACCATCCCATACCAATTTCAATTCTTCTTCATCTACCTCTTCATCTCCCAACCCGCCCACAAAAATTTTTATCGCTATTTTGTCATTTGCCCTGGACTAACCTGTGTTTCTTAGTCTATTATTCACCTGTTAGGTCTCACTTCCATCCACTACGCTATACCAACCCAGTCCCAACCAACATTCAAACCTGATCTCACCGGTCAGCAAACTTTTCAACTACCCACGCACTTACACTCCGGGGTTTTGCCTTTTATACACCGATACCCCGCTCATCGGTGTTACTTACTTAAGGCATCTTCTCCCTCTTCTCTCCCTTATCTCAAACACTCTTCGACGTACATTACCTCCTATATTCACAACGAATATTGCTCACGTCCAATACCCACCTTAATTTGAATCAATCCCGCTATTCACCCCTAAACTTATTTACTCTATTCTTCCCTAAATTTATTCGTCATATTGAAATCTTAAACTTCTATCTCCACCTTTGCTTACAATGGCTTCTACTTCTACTTTACCTGCCGGCAATCCACCTGTCCGCCCATCTCACCCTGTTACCGTTTCAGGTGTCGTCGAAGTTGCCACCATGGTATGTTCTCCTCTTCTCACCGCCACTTCTTCTCCCTCCTGCTGAATTACCCGTTCCTCTCAGTTACCCCCCGCCGACAATCGCAATTACACCCACCGATCCTGCACTGTAGCCGTTACTTGTAACGGAGAGGGATTCAGATCGCGAGGCTGAGTACGATGGAACGTTCACCGCGTATGGGG